GGTTGCGTTGTCGGCTGTGGTCGGCTGTGGTCGCCGGCGGCGCTGTCTTAGTGGAAATCCGGGCGCCGGCCACGGGCCCGTGTCCTTGCCGGAGGCCTTCGGTTGGTAACCGAAGGTTATATACGCTCGCCGCCCCTGCCGCCGACCCCCTCCGCCCGACCCCCGCCCGAATCTGCCCGACAAATGTATATGTAATGTATATGTATCTTGCGCTGGATGTTCGAAAGATGTTCAAAAACATCGTTTTTTACAGTGTTTCGTGGCCTTCGGCGTCCACGACAGGGTGCCTGTGGTGTCAGTTATGCGTGCCGCGCGGACAGGCTTAATCGACATTTCGTGGGTGTCGGGCACGTGCTAAGAGCAAAGGCGGAACATGTGCTCCAAGATGATCTGACAGAGGCCTTCAAGAGGACTTAACATAGGTCTCAGATATGGCCCGCATAGCCCCAAGATGGGCGAAGATTGCCTCAAGATGTGGCAACATAGGCCCCACACATTTTCACAAAGCCGCAAGATGACCCTACCTAGCTCTCAGATATGGGAAACATAGCCCCAAGACGGGCGAAGATTGCCTCAAGATGTGGCAACATAGGCCCCACACAGTCTCAAAAAAAAAGAGAGAGAGAGAGAGATAGCGAAGATGACCCTCCCTAGCTCTCAGATATGGGAAACCTAGGCCCCACAAAGTCTCAAAAAGAGAGAGAGAGAGAGACAAAGAGAGAGAGAGAGAGAGAGAGAGACAAAGAGAGAGAGAGAGAGCGAGAGAGAGAGAGAGAGAGAGACAGATACAGAGAAGACAGATACAGAGAAAGAGCCAGGGACAGCTGCCGACGAATGCCGCGACGAAAACACCGACGCCCACAGACCTCAACAGGAGGGCAAAGGGAGAGACAGCGAGAGACAGAAAGAAAGTGAAACACAGAGACAAAAAAAAAGAGCCAGACACAGAGTGAGCTATCAAGACGAAGACACGGACAGATACAGTCCGAAAAGGACAAGGCGAGAGAGAATCCAGAACACAAAGCTAGACTCCACAACCCTCTCCCTGCTTGGCCGGCGCCCGGCTGTCAGGCGTAAGCCTCATAAATCCGGGCGCCGGCCAGGACGCCCGTGGCATGCCCGGAGGGCCTTCGGTGGTAACCGAAGGTTATAGACGGGCGCGCCGGCTGCCGCCGACCCTCGGTCCCAAAACGGGGGGACGACCGGTTCACTGAAGCCCCTGTAATTTACAGTGTATCGTGTGTGTGAGGTATAAAAAACACTGTATTTTACAGGGTTTATTGCGCATATCGAAGTACGACGGGGGGAAAAGGGAAAAATGCAAAAATGCTGTGTTTTTCAAGGGTGGTGTCGGTAATGCGCGCCGGGCGGACAGGCTTAATCGACATTTTGTGGGTAGAGCCCCTCCAGACGACTTACATTTCCTAACATATCCTCAACATAGGCCCAAGATAGCCAACATATGCCCAACATAGCCTCCAAGATGGCTCAACATAGGGCCAACATGCCCAACCTGGGCAAACATAGGCCAACATAGGCCTAACATAGGCCGACATAGGCTCAACATGGGCCCAAGATGTGCCCAACATAGATCACATGGGCCCAACTTGGCCCAACCTAGGGCCAAGATGCGCACCAGATAGCTTAACTTTGCTCAATATAGGGCCCCCATCTCCGACGCGGACCAGTTTCCCACCTTGGCACCACCCAGGGCCCAGTACGCCCCCGATAGCTTAACGTGCACCCGACCCAGCCCTACACAGACCCAAGTGGGCCGGCGCCCGGCTGTTAGGCGTAAGCCTTTAAATCGCAATATATCTGGCTTCATTGCAGGGTCTGGTGGTTACGTTGTCGGCTCTGGTCGGCTGTGGTCGCCGGCGGCGCTGTCGCATTGGGAATTGCAATAGATCTGGCTCCGTTAGAGGGTCTGGTGGTTGCGTTTTCGGCTCTGGTCGGCTGTGGTCGGCTGTGGTCGCCGGCGGCGCTGAGAACTGGCGAGTTTCTAGTACAACTTTAGTACGCGGAGCAATCTGTGGAGCTGGAAGCTGAGAACGACTTTGTAGTACAACTTTAGTACGCGGAGTAGCTGTGGAGCTGGAAGCTGAGAACTGGCGAGTTTCTAGTACAACTGTAGTACGCGGAGCAATCTGTGGAGCTGGAAGCTGAGAACTGGCGACTTTGTAGTACAACTTTAGTATGCGGAGTAGCTGTGGAGCTGGAAGCTGAGAACTGGCGAGTTTCTAGTACAACTTTAGTAAGCGGAGCAATCTGTGGAGCTGGAAGCTGAGAACTGGCGACTTGGTAGTACAACTGTAGTACGCGGAGTAGCTGGGGAGCTGGAAGCTGACAAGTGGCGACGTTCTAGTACAACTTGAGTACGCGGAGCAATCTGTGGAGCTGGAAGCTGAGAACTGGCGACTTTCTAGTACAACTTGAGTACGCGGAGTAATCTGTGGAGCTGGAAGCTGAGAACTGGCGACTTTGTAGAACAACTTTAGTCCGCGGAGTAGCTGTGGAGCCGGAAGCTGAGAACTGGTGAGTTTCTAGTACAACATTAGTACGCGGAGCAATCTGTGGAGCTGGAAGCTGAGAACTGGCGACTTTGTAGTACAACTTTAGTACGCCGAGCAGCTGGGGAGCTGGAAGCTGAGAACTAGCGACGTGGTAGTACAACTGTAGTACGTGGAGTAGCTGGGGAGCTGGAAGCTGAGAACTGGCGACGTTGTAGTACAACTTTAGTATGCGAAGTAGCTGGGGAGCTGGAAGATGAGAACTGGCGACTTGGTAGTACCACTTGAATACGGGGAGTAGCTGGGGAGTGGGAAGATGAGAACTGGCGACTTGGTAGTACAACTTTAGTACATTATGCCCCATATTGCGGACGTGCGACGACCGCTGGTGTTATTGGCAAGTTGTGGCTGCGCACACCTGTGTGCACAATACCTCGTACATCCGTCGTGCACATCACTCTCTTACACCTTCTCTCCCACCCCTCTGTTGTCGGAAGCTGATATCACTTCCTGACAAGGCCGTGTTGTAGAAGCTATTGAGACTCTGACTGCTTTGTGTTCTTTTAGAACCTTCAGATTCGTAAAGATTCATATGTGGGGTTATCCGGTCCTTTAATTTTTTGCAGTGGATTTGCAACACCTCTGAAGTTGGCGTGCTAAAACGCACGCGCGGTTTTAGATCCGCCGGGATGTTTATGGATGCCCCCGCGCCCCCTTTCATAAATTTCCCTTAAACAAAGTATGCTTCCTCAGGGCGGTTTCCCCTCTTTTGCTTTCTTCTTTTCATCAGTCAAAGCAAGCTTCCAGAATCTTCAAGAGATTCCTCCATGTTTTCCCAAGAATTGTTCGACCCCATGGCTTCATACAATTTGCACTAGGCGAGTTTCCTGGGATAGGCCTGTGGCATTGCAGAACCCAGACCAGTCACCCATCACATGCGCATGAATCTCCATGGTTCTCCCCAGAAGCTTGGCCAATCACACGAATATATGTCCCCCGCCCCCGCAAACGCACAAGTATCCTTTCTCTTGGTAACAACGTACAAGTCTCCGTTTGAAAGAGGGCAGTTCCCTCCCCTGCTCGCATACCATTCCTGGACACAACATATGCTTCCTTCCCCTCCCCCCTCCTGGCATACAATTGTGTACACAAGAAAGTAACATGTACGAATTAGTTGGGCACAGTGTTATGCTTTTCATTTTCAAGCTGAAGGGGAAGATATGGAAAGATCAGTTTCTCTTGGAAATGTATGCGGCACAGCGCGCCCAGAGAGCGGTTGGAGCAAAACACAAAAGACATCACCAAATTCGCTAAACCTCAAAATCCCCAATCCCCCACAATCAGACATTGTAATTGTTGGTCGTGATTGCTGAGAGAAATGATTTTGTCGAATGCACGTGCCCGAAGACAGCGTCGCTCCAAAAGCACTGTACAGCAGCTCAACACTCCGCCCCGGCATCGGCTTCCTCGCGCGAGGAAGCCGAAGGAGGCTCAAAACAAGAAGCTGCCGTCGCACCGTCGCCATGTGTTCCAACACAGCAGCATCATCAACGCGCCCAGCAGACCATCCAAGCCGCAGCTGCAGCAAGTCATCCGGGGTACGTGAAGGACGCGTGGGCGCAAAGCCAGGACAGCGCCAGCACAGGTGCTCCCAGTTGGAGACCTCAGTCTCGCCGTCGCAAAAGCGACAGCCAGGGCAAACGTCGCCGCCAGAAGCCTTGGTGTAGAAAGCAGCCGAACAGGCCGCTCCCGTCAAAACGGCACGCACATCGCCGTTTCCAGCAGCGAAAACCTTAGCCGTCATTTTGTACCTTTCGTGATTGCTGCTGTTGCAGCATCGTACCCCATGGTGCGCATACGCTTGGCCTAGACTCTGGACCAGTGCCCCCCTTCTGTTACATACATTTTGTCAGATTCTTGTTGACCCTGTCCGACACTGTCCCCCCCGGTTCTTACAATGGCCGCAAATGCCCAAGAAATGTCGATGTGCATAAGCGAGTGCCCCCCTCCCCCTTTTCATACAATTCCGGTCTTGATTCCCCCTACCTTTCAGACATATCCCAAAAGCGGTGTTTCCAGAAACACGGAAGGAACCAGAAAAATGTATATTTATCTTTATATTGATACACCCCCCTGTTCGAAAGTGGCCTCCCTCCCTTTGTAGAGTTAGACCCAGTGATCCTTCATGTATAATATACATTGCCATTGTGCTTTATTCCCCACCTGGCAGGTGAGGCTCGGGTTGTTAGATGTTATGTCAGCTGCCTTCCGCCGCCTCCTCCTCCGCCGCCGCTCCTCCGCCAGCTTCAGATCGCAGTGTGCACGGCCCGGACCTCACCAGATAGAATGTCAGTATATATGCCAGATAGAAGGCCGGAATACATGCCGGAATGCATGCCAGATAGAATGTCAGAATGCGCTCCAGATAGGCTGCCAGAGAATGTTCGGGGCTTTTTAAGTGAATTGGGGCGCCACGAGAATCATTTATGTATGTGCCCTCAAAGTTTGTGATAATCATACCTAGATGAAGTCTATTTCCTAGGTTTTGCCTTCACGCTGAAAAGCATCACTGCTGAAAAGTACACCTTTATTATATATATGGATAGTATCATTCATGTATGTGCTCTCAAGAAGTTTTTTCATGCATAACTACATGAAGTCTATTTTTCCAGGGTTTGCTTTCAGTGCCGAAAAGCATCACTGAAGAGCATAACCTTTATAATATGGATAGTATCATTCATGTATGTGCCCCGAAAGTTTCTTGATGCATACCTAGGTGGTTCCATTACAAATCCGTTCTCGAAGTTGTTTGACAATGTTGGCTGATTTGTGCACTGAGTAATGTCATCATTCTGTTTGTAATGGCTTTCACTTTCACCCTAATGCATCACTGGTTCCGACCAGGGCCTCAGATCCATCACAAATCACCGGGTCAGTGAAACCTAGAATTTGTCATGAGCATGCGCCAGATAGAATTTTTGATCCTATGCCATATAGAAAATACCTTTCATGGCAGAACCAACGTTGGAACACATGTGACTGAAGTTGGTCCATATGTCGCACATGGCACATGTCGGCCAGGAAAAATGTCAGAACACGCGCCAACAAAGATGTCAGAACACAGTCCAGAACGAATCCCAACCTTTATGGTAGCTGATGTGTCAGACGACAACCAGATTTGATGCCAGAACAAGTGTCAGAACATCGTGTCCGCACAAATCGCCTTTCAGGCTGGGGATCACTCGAAGTAAAGTAATTCTGGTGAAAAGAGCCAATGGTTTCATCCCAAACAGGTGTCATTCACAGCAACCGTTTGGCTCCGAATCTTCGACTGGTCTACCGTATTTAGCATATGGTACCGCCAGGCGGGCAGAAACCCTCAAAACATCCCAAGTACTAGTATATGGAGGAACCTCAGAACTTAAAGGATTTAGTTGGTATTCACCCCACAATGGCACCACAGAAACTCCAAATCAAGAAGCTGGGAGAATTACTGTAAGGGTTAAAAAGGCCAACAGTCCCCGCATCAGTACCACTTTCACGACTTCAATCAACGCCAGTTGTTGGTCAGTGCCCAGATGTGTGCTACTTCGATAGATTGGAGGCCTTGTGGTTCATCTTCAATGGAAAGGGAGTCACTGTAAAACATCAAAGGTTGAAGCGCCCCGATGAACGACACCCTACAACCACCACGATCAACCGGTCGGCAACGATGGGGGGTCAATGATACGAGGTTACTGGCTATCTCCGGTCGTGTGCATGGAGCAGTCGGATGGGTCCATTCGCACCGAAGGCACGGCGGGTGCGTGCTGGGGGGGCACCAGCAAGGCCAGCGTGGAGACGACGAAATCCTGTTTCCCAACACCTCTGGGGAAACTCCGTTTTTGTTCACTCAAGACAGTCCCGTGGCCAAGGGGATTCAAAGATCAATCTGAAGAGCATCGAGTCCTTCTCAGGCTGGGGTACCGCTTAGTGGCTGCCATCGCTGATAGGGAGAGAGACAGAGAGAATGAGAGAGAGAGGAGAAAGATAGATCCCTTGAGAGAGAGAGAGAGAGAAAGAGAGCGAGCGAGCGAGGGAAGGACGGAGGGAGGGACGGAGGGAGAGAGGGAGCAAGGCATGGAGGGAGGGAGGGAGAGAGAGAGAGAGATAGAGACTGAGACAGAGTCTGAGACAAAGGCTGAGACAGACTGCATGACAAAGCAAGGCAAAGGATGTTCTCTAGGCTCTCTCAACCTCCAGAAACCACAAGTAAGGGACTCTTGAACTTTGACGTTGGCAGATCGGGGGATGTCAAACAACACTGGCGAGGTGAGGAGTTCGTGCGCATCATCGTGGCACATCGTCATCTCAAGGACTCCGATCATGTTTGTCATGTTTTTGTGTTTAAAACGGAAGTGTTTCATGTTTTATGTGATATATAATATGTCATAATATTGTTTTTTTTTAACCAAGTATGTGTTTAATATTTCTTCATTTTTTGTGTGACGGAGAGATTGTTGGACAAGTATGTGTTTCTTTTCGTGATTGGCACCGGGACATGTTCCTTTCAGCCGGTGACTGCTTTGCCCTAAGATTCGGCCATTGAAGTTGACAGCCGCCTTGGTTCCCAAAGCAAGAGGGCAGAGTGAAAGACTTTAGTTATCTTAGTTGGAGAAATACGTTGTGTTGGGGAAGCACATGCGTAAGTTGACAAGGAATACTACAATACTACACATACGCGCCATTTTGGTCGCACAGCAGTCGCCCAGAAGCACGAGTCACTAGGTCACCGGTTGGCAGGCGCGGAATCCTGTCCTGGTTTCAGAAGTTCAGAGACAAGCTAATGGACGTTGGGAGGAGGCACGGCTGGTGAATCACATTGACAGCATTGTTTAGCAAGATCGTTTGACCGCCACATCAGATGATATCGGATGAGCAGTGTGTGAAAGAATAATTAGCATACATTTGCGATCACTAGGTCCCACAAAGCTCAGTTTTTGAACAAGAAAAAAAAACATCACAAAACACGACTAGAACTCAGCAGAAGACTCAACCAGAAAGGAGGACTCACAAGCAGACACAAGAACAAGCAACAAAAAATAAGCACAAATATCACAAATTGACATTCAAGGAAACCAACAATCAATTGGTACTTTTTTAAGTCTCTCTTTTATGTGATTTGTTTTCTGTTGATTTCAGACTTTTGTGGTGAAATCCTTGCCTCAAATGCCAAAGCCCATCGCCAAGCTGACCCCAAGCAGGGCTCGTTGCGCGTAGCGGCTCGTTGGGCTCGTTTCTGACTGTGCAGGTGTCCAAAGGCTTTGTCCTCCCACGGAAGTGGAGCATGGCTCCCGAAAGCGCGACAGCTATGAGGTCAAACGAGTGAAACGAGTGGTGCGACACGTGAACAGTAGCGCGTAGGGCTCACGGCTCACGGAAAATCCAGAAATCGACCACTTCTCTCATCCCCAGCTTCTCAGAAATCAGAGCTTTTCTCTCCTCCCTGAGACGATGTTTGAAGACAAGACCGTTGTGTGTTCCAGGAACGAAGAGGAAGAGAGAGAGGGGGAGAGAGAGAGAGTTTCGCTTTTGAACAGCGATGGAATCCGATGGACGACGGGGAGTCATGTTGGACAAACAGGGTCGTTCGCAAATGCACATGTAAAGGAATTATGTAAAGGAACAACTATTGGTTACAGTTGTGTCGTTCTGTTTGTGGGACATCGCGGAGCTGGGTCCATAGAAGCGGCGACTCAACCGCAAGGGGGTGATATAATATATTATGTGCTACTAGTAGGTTTGGAAATAGTCATTTAGCACAACCCCCACAGTATCTAAAAACATGTGAGTGACTCTTCGATCATGACATGTCACTGGGTAGTAGGCGTATTCATTGCAAAAAGTACGCAGGCGCCGGGACTGTGTTTTCATTTTCTACCAGAGTGGACCATTTCCGTACAGGCTGCAAACCATCGCTTGGGGATTTGTCAACCCTAAACTCAATGGAGCAGCGTTCAAAACCTCCCGGCCATTAGGTGTAATGTACCGTGAGCATTTGTCTATACATTGCTGTGAGTATGCGCTGCATTGCTGAATTTAGACTTTGACACCATGCATAGAATATCACATACTACATTACCATGTTTCCATTTGCTGAGATTCTTGGTGGCTTTGAGGGCTTCGACAAGGGGTAATGACAAGGGAATGACAAGGGCGACAAGGGCCTCCATCCTGATTGGGGATTGATGGGAATAACAGGGGTAAGGGATCAAGTAGTCAGATGCAGTGCGTAAGGAGTGTGTAAGCCGTTTTTTGCGTGCGTGAGTCACGGTCAGTTGGGGCACTCAACACATGTTTTTCAGAACTGCAAGAAATTCATTGGAAACGTTCGGTTCCCTTTGTGGTATTGCCTTGAGATGTTCATGAACTTGCAGAAAAGCACTTTGCTCATCTTTGCTCAGAAGATGTTCTCCAGCACCCCAGCCCCAAAGCGACCAACAGACCAACTTCTGTGACCCTAAGCTGTTAAAGCAAAAGGAAAGTTACAGTGCGGAAGCTCACACTGTGGCTTCGTGCAGACTCTTCTCGTGTTCGCCTTGCGTGTTCGCTTTCATTTCTCCGCCCGCTGGTGCGCGTGCGTGCTGTTTCGCTGGTGTTCAGCGGATACGTGCTGCCGTTTAACTCAGAAACGACATCATCCAGCGCAGAAGGATGTTTTGAAACCTTCCTTTTTGAACCTTCCAGATTCCAGTCCCCCAGTCCCCATCGCAACCATTTGCCTGACTCTCTTGCCTGACATTTGCCTGTGATTTGGAAGACCCCCTTGCCATGATCAACATGTCCTTTCATCCTTTGCATCCTGTCACCCAAAGAAAAGCCAAAACACATGGTATTCCGTGTGTGTTTTTAAGTGTGTTCCCTCATGAAGACCGCTTGGAGGTCTTCCGACCTGAAGGCTGAAACCTCCATCACTCGGCTCCAACGCTCCATGGCCCCATGGCAGAACGTTCCGGCGTCAACCGGCGTTCGTTCGAAGGTTCGCGGTTCGGCCGTTCGACTGGCCGACATCATCCAGCGCAGAAAGGACGTGTTGACGAAAATGGCTCAATGGCTTCCTTTCGAACCTTCCACTCCCCATCCGGACAAGGAGCGTTGTTTTTTTGTGGACATTCCGACATTCCCTGATGGACGGAGCGAGATTTTTGAATCGTCCAAGAGATCGGAACCACGCATCGGCGTTGTACAATGTTGCGCAACACTTGCAGTGAGCTGGGTCGGATGAATAACCTTTCCATGAGAAGGTTTGCTATTTGATGTTGTTTGAGAAGGTCTCAATAGAAAAGACGGCACAAAATCGAACACATGGATTAATTGGGGGGAGGGGTTCTACACTCAGACTACTCAGACTAAATCTCTTATATAATGAATCTTTTCATTAGCAGATATCCCCAAGACTTAAAGTTATATAAATCTCTACATGAGGTAAATCTATCTAAGTCTCTTCATGTGTCATGTGTGGTACCACATGACGGGATCTTTGGGAAGCCTTGGAGGCTATGACCTGTATGAGGTGGGGTACCAGGGTACCTGCCATATGAAGAGGCGGTTTGGGCGCCATTTGAGAAGGACGGTAAGCATGTGGAGCATGAAGAGAATGTTGAACATGTGCTGAGTTGGATGAAGCTGATAGGATTCGAACGAAGCAAGAGAATCTATGAGGTTCAAGGTTCCATCAGGAAGGAGAAGGAGAGGGCAGGAAGGTGCAAGAAAACTTAATTTGGATAAGTCTATTGGACTGGGCAACTCAGGCCTGTGGGGAAGTTGTTTGTTTATTCCTTGCTGTGTGGAGACCAAATGAGCGAATATGGTGTTTTGGGGGGCCTTTGTGGGAGCTTGTTGGATAGGTTTTAGAATGTTTTTGACATAAGTTCACAAAGTGTTTGAGTGTTCCTAGAATTCCGTGTGACTTTGTTGGGTGAAGGAGAGCTGGGTAGGAGATACGGAGGAGCACGAGTTGGTTGCTTCAGCAGACTGCCAGCTTTGGTGATGAGCATCAAGACTACACCGACTACAGATATAAATATAGGCAGTTGCTACACACATCCACCAATTTGACCAATGTCCTATCCGATAAGTTTCGCTCATCATGGGCCGCGTGCGGCGGCCACAGGCACACTGGCAAAGGTATGAGTTCCACTGAAAGATGATTGGAGAAGGGACGTTAGTTGATTAGCAATATAGGACCATGGGATGAGGGATTGGGTCAAGTGAACAGGCTGAAAAAAGGGGATTGCATTGCCAAAAATTTGGCCAAAGAAAAGTAAGAGGTTGCACAATGTTGCACATTTTCTTTGGGGGAGTTATTGCACCAAATTGTAAAACATGTGCGAGTGTGTTTGTTTTTTTAGTAAACGCCGTCAGCATTGCCGGAACGAAGCGGATCAAAGTAATAGGGGGGTTCTCAATCCTACCTTCACATGAATCATTCACGGAGCTTCCGTTAGTTGCGCTGCTGAGGAGCAAGTGTTGCAGGCTGAAGGCATTGACGCCTGGTGGTGCCAGGCCTTGGCTCACAGAGTGGCGGCAGACTGAATTGCGGCTAGCAGTGCCGCCCGAAGCTGAAACACGCCCATGTCGCAGACCCGGGTTAAACTCCACCGACGATACCCTTGGCATTCACAAACAGTCCTCTCCCTCTCCCCGTGAAGAAGGGTGAGAAGGACCTTGCATGGAATTCACGACTGGACCTTGCGTGAGAACGAAGGTCCGCTGCGACCAACGCCGAACGCAGCGGCAGGTGGAACGCCTGGAGCTGGCCGCGGAGGATACGGAGAGGAGATCAGCAGAGGAACGGAAGCCTCAGCGGCCGGTCGGTGTCGAAGCCAGCTGTGCTCGATGGTCCCCCAAGCAGCTGAGAGCGAACGAAGGTCACACACTTGAAAATCGGTTGTTATCGGGTTCATGAGGCCCTTTGGGGGGCAATGTTGCAAGGGTTGAGAACTTCTCAACCTCGTATAAGAGGATTGGGCTTGCGCACCACAGACATGTGAGGAAATTTGTTCGGATGCTGCCCTCTTACAGGCAGAACCACTCACTGATTTTTTTGTCATAAAAGAGAGGCTGAGGAAAAATGATGTGGATTTGGGCGTCGCTCCAATAGGTTGTGGAGCTTTGGACCATTTCTAACAGCTCCAGGCACAAGAGCGCAGGGCCTCTGCACTGTGGCAGCCGCCAAAAGCCCGAGAAGCACTGCCCAAAGCAGGTGGAAGCGCATCGCTGAAAACTCATTCACCTCTCCATGGTAAAGTATCAAGAAATTATGGTTGACGTTCTTTCGCGGAACGGTTGAAGCATCACCTCTTGGTGCTTCAAATATCTTCAAATCGTTTCTTTTCCCGGGAAGTGTGTAGGACTATGACTTAGGTCCTACTCAGACAATCATCCTCCAGTGTGTGCTACGAGGAAGTAGGTCGGGGTCAACGACCAGAAGGAGGGTGTATCCATGGGTGAAGCGCGGCGTGGGCGTCGGCGGACCGCGAGCAAAGCCACAGAAGCAGACCACAGAGCACCACACAGAAGAAGACAAGCAGACCACAGAGCAACACAGAACAATTCCAGACCAGTAGACCACAGCCCCGCAGGGCTTGTGGAAGCCCTGGAATCGCGCTGGGCCAGCACTAATGAAGATGAGCTGTGCGACACCCGCGCAGCGGTGTGACCTGGTCCGACAGCGACTCGTGTCCGTCGTGGGGCGGTGGGTTAGAGCTGTTCTTGCAACCTGAACCTCCGAGGTATGGTATGAGGGCAGTTGCATGGGACAGTACAGCACATTGCACAACCCAAAACCACTCTCAATTCATGTTGGATCCTGATTAGTAAAAGAGGCCCCCCCACCTAAACAAATTGGGGTGTCCTGTATGATAAACTACCACCAAATCAAATCTGGTTTCCCAATTGATTGTAGTATATTGTAGTAATTGTAGTATTGATTTTCCTGGAAGGGAGGGGGAGTGCAGGTGGACAGGGTTCAGAAGGAATTAAAACATTTCTAATTTTATACAATTACTAATCAGCATTATAGAGGACTCTATTACTAATCAGGATCGAACAATACATGCAGGTCGTCATGACGGCTAGAATCGGCCAGAGGCAATAACACTTGGTTCGCTTTGGTTCAATCTCTTCATTTGCATGCATTCAAATTGAGGACAGACCCTCCCTTTGAATCAGCTGCGCCAACTCCCTTCAACCCAATTTGTTGTTCCATCCGGAAGTCTCGTGGCTCTTCCAACCCTATTAGGCCTTCGTCTCGTGGCCTCCGGATGGGAAAAAACCACCCATCAGCACCTCACAGGACGTCGGGCTCCGGCCGAGGCTTTGCCACTTGGCGGAGACAGCAGACTTGACGCAGACCTTGCGACCTGGCAGAAGGACTCCTGGGAGGGACGTGGCATAGCATCATGCATCCCGTTTGGATTCTGCTCGTCATATTTTCACATCAGGCTTGGGAATAGAGGAAGCACAGATCATGGCGACCTTTGTGTTCACCCCGCCTGGAAAATTCCACCTGGTTTCCGCTGAAAAGGATGGATGGCGATCTCCTTGATGGTTTCCAAGGATTGACCTCCTGCTCGAGATTTTCCAGCGATGCAGGCCGATTCCGCTCTCCACCGGTCGGAGACCGGTACGCTGAGAAGCTACCGGGCATCGCGGCCTGAGCCACCAGGTAAACCAAAAGAGACGGCCGAGCTCTCCACAGGTGGCTGGCAGTTCACGGGTTCTTCTATGTTTATTTTTCATCCAACCCTGGTTGCACATGGTTGCGCCAAACTGTGCAACAACAGTTTGCAATAAAAGGGATGTGATTTGGAGGCTTCAAACCTCTCAACGTTGAGTCAACTTGACCTTGAGCCAACCTGCTTTTCCCAAGGGCAAAGACCCAACTGCCAGTCCCGACGTTCATTTGGAGTGTCAGGCAGCCAAGAGCCTTGGGGCACGTCGTCTTGGATGCTGCCCAACGCCTCCTGCGTCGGCGCGACAAGGTGTTTTACGACCGGCCCTTGACGCGAGGAGCTTCAGCCACCTGGACATGGCAGACGAGATGGGTCCGGTTACTGGATGGCCTTACTGGGAGGTAAGATTACCGGTAAGAAGATCCGTTCTCAAGCTTCTTGCCATGTGAAGTTGTGCGCATGCTTTGATCACCCTAGATTGTTTGGTGGCTGCAACGTGCTGCAACCCAGAAATCCCATCCCACGCTGTCCACATGACCTGGGACAAGGCTAAGTGGCAGCAGCTGATTGAAAGGGCTGCCAGCGGCATGTTTTGTCCCAAAGTCGTGGCGAAGGCATGGTCCGACGTCACCGTTGGCAGTTACATATACTGTAGATATATATATATATATTTAGGTACTCGTACTGTAATTCAACGTGGTTTGGGCGTCCCCAGATGCAATGCCGAATGGTGGGAGTTTGCTTCCTGAGGAACACGTGCTAAGAGCCACCAGCCTGTTTTGTAGTTGGTTTGGTGGACGCGAACTCGGCTGAGCATGGACGTGAATAGGGATAGTTTCGCCACTCGGAACTTCGCCGTGCCGTGGTGTGACCGGTGTGACCGGAGAACGAGAGGAGGACCTTCGCCAACGATGATTGTTGCCCTTGGCGGATGGCTTTACAAGAAATGAAGGCACCAACTTAGGTTCGAAACAGCCTCATGACTCATGAGGAAAGCCATGGTTGGGTAGCTTGGTGCATGTCAATCGCAAGAGACTCGCGAACGCAGTTCTTCGTTGATGGCCTGGTGTCCTTTGGCTTCATTGTTCGATTTGGCATCCGAATCTATTCAATTCAGCGATGCCGAAATGACATCGGAGAATCCTTTCAGCTGTTTTCAGCTTGCTCCGACCCCTCCAAGACCGGCGCCATCCGGCGCCACCGGCGTTCGGCGTTCGGAGGCCTCCAAGCAACTGGGCATGGAGGCGGTGGCCACGAAGGGTCGCCAGGAATCCGTGGCTGCACCTCGGTGTATTGGCCGCACCCTGCCAGGGTGGCCCGGGGGGTTGGAGGATGCAGAGGTGGTGTTGAAAAAGGTCGGCGCCAGGTCGGCGTAGTGGTGCGGTGGTGCCAACTCCTCAAGAATACCGAATACCCTCCTTCTTGGCGAATCGCGCCCCATGTCAGACTGCGAGACCACCACTTGGCGTGCACCACAAAGTCACTTGGAGCATGTAAAAAACACTATTTTTTAAAACAAAAACACCCAAACCAGCGCAGTCGCAAGCGACTCCACACCCTCACCCTATAGTTTGTAGCGTTTTAGTTTTAGTGTATATTCTATATTATTCTATATTTGTGCAGCGGATCTGGATGCAAAGACTGTTGTGGATGCAGAGTCTTTTGCCACAAGACGTGGCCAAGATGCGACACAAGTTGGCAACAAACCTGCAAAGACATGACCTGCAACCCCGTCCCCTTCGAACCCTACCCGGGATCACAGGGGAATTCTGGTGGAGGGGTGAGCTTCCACCCCAAAGTGGATTTCTGCCGGAACCCATTGGGACGGAACCAATATCTCAATAGATTCTGGAGAGGAACTGTTACCAAACTGTTTGCCTCCTGAAGTAGTAAAATCCTGGAACCAAGAACCAAGATTCCGGCAGAACTCTTGGCAGGAATCGTCCTTCTTGGTTCTTGGGACTCAAAGGTAGTACATTTGTTGCTTTGTTTTGCAGAGTGCCTCAACCTCTTGGTTCCAGAGTCAGAGAGGTCAAAACACCTCTTGGTTCTTACCCTTTCCAATAGTTGATGTGGAAGCCACTCTGCTGAGCTGACATGCCTGAATCCCAGCTTGAATTTGCTAACACAGATGGAATTCATTTGGCGAAGTGATTTTATATCAATGGTGCTTTTCTCCTTCTGTATTGAATGCGCTTGTTTTTGAGGACAAATTATCCCCAAAAAAGAAACTTCCAACCAAACATATATATATAGCTGTTTTAAACACTGTATATAGCCTTTCTATTCAATGCAGAGCATCATTTTCTTTTGAGAGCAACCAGATTTTCACGACAATGCAATGTTGCCTATCATGTGTTTTTCCATTTCGTAAGACAAGCTTACTTGAGGCTTGCTTAAGGTTTAATTGGTGTTTGCAGGAGTAAGAAAACTAAGAGGTCCTGGGACCTCCTGGAACTCTTCCATCGGAGTCTTGGTTCCTTGTCTAGGGAGGTTTCATGTATAACGAAGCCAGGTACTTACATGTACTAGCACAATCCTGGAACCAAGCACTAAGAACCAAGTCAAGCTTCCGCAGAACTCTTGGCAGGAATCCTTGGTTCTTGGTTCCGGAAAAGTACATGTACATTTTGTGGTGCCGATCAAGTATATATTCTCAAAGACTCACGCCCCAGTGTGCTGATAGTATTGAACCCACTAGTAAAAACACACCAAAATAGAGTTCAGGTTACTATAGATTACTATAGATTGATTGATTGTAGAACCTCCCTTTCGGAAAGCACCTGCCGCATGGCAGCACCGGTGCCAGGATCTTCTGGCGCGCTTCGAGGACTTCAACTTCCCCGATCGACCCATCGAGTCGACCCATCGCGAGGCCACCTTAACAGGCGGAGCGGGTGAGCGCCCGTCGACCGGGCGAGCCGTCGTTCCGACATGTGGACCGGGCAACACGGCATGTGGACCATGGACGCGGATCTATATAAATTCAACTAAGCCACTTCTGATTCCCAACGTGGCTCAAGGCAGATTGTTGGGTACCCATTGATGTTCTCGAGTTGTTCAATTTACAGGATTGATACCTAGACCCTGCTTAGGCAATAAAATCAATATGTTCGTCCCAAGTTCATTTAGGCAGAAAAGTCTGCCCGTTTTCACAAAGAACGCCTAAGCTGCCGCCTCGAGGGTCAAACGCCGAGGCACAATCACATGCATTCTTACACGCAGGAGGCAGTGCCAGAATTTGAAAGAAACACAATTTGATTAAAAAAGCGCTTACCACCTGATGCTAGTCCCTAGCTCTCAATAGTTGCTCAAACTCATGTCACTCACTCCCTTCAAAAAGGTTACCATTCATTTGTCCACCCATGCACTCATTTTAGTGAGGGGGAACCTAACTAACGTGTAAGAATGCCCAAGCGACGAGAAGAACTCCTATACGCAAACAGCATTTAGGCAACGGAAACAAATAAAAACACATCATAGCGCACCAATAACATACAAAAGTGAAGCATCAAGTGATTTCCTGATAAACAAATGTACTTCATCACTATGAAAGTTCCTGGAACCAGTGGTGTGTGGATCCTTATTTATTTGAGCATAGCCACCACAAGGAAAAGAACGCCTAGGGGGGACAAGAACATAGCATTGACAAAGGTGCCTTTACCATAAAGGAATCAATTTCTGCCCAAGACAAGCAAGTTGGAGAAGGCTATTACTGTAATTGAACGCAAAGGCTGGAGATGCCAAGCGCTATTCATTAGTTCTCCACCACGCTGTTCTCCATGCTTGGGCACGCTGGAGCACATGAGCCAATGCGCGCCCAGTTCACTTGGCTCTGAAGCCAATATTCCTCTCTGCGTGTAAGGCATTCCAGCAAGATCCAGCAAGGAAGATATGTTTAGAGATGTTCTGAAACAATGAGGTGTGAGGTGTCCTTTGGCTTTTGTGGAACCCCGCAAGATCATGTTTCCTCCACTAATCATTATCATGGAGTCCTGGCCAGCTTCCATGATTGCTTGGGAGGGTCATGTTTGGTTGGAGGGAGATGTCGCAGGTGCCGTACAGCTTTGCACCTTGCGCTTGCAGCAGTTGCAGCGCCAGCGAGAGGCCCGAAGATGCCGCGAGGACGGAACCGGGTTACACAGCGTTCAGTGAGGAAAGGAGTCTTGAGGTTTGAAACAGTGAGGGTGCTTGTTGATGACGTTTCCAGAGAGTCCGGGTGACCTTTTTCCGGAGGTGCTGCGCAAGAAGAAGCTGCTATTGTATGCTATTTTGCACAAATTTTGGCACGATGAGAAACACTGAAGGCAGAATTGAGTGCGTAATCCCCACCGTCTTAGATGCAGGAAGATTCAGCTTGACCAAGCTGTTGCTGAAATGTCTGAAAGGATCCTTAACAGGAACCCAAATGTTGAACCCTACTTAGGTCCAGCTGTGATTTTCTGGGCACGACCGATCGCTGCATGTTGTATTTCTCCGGAAGATCGCACTGTAGTCAGGGATGGCACTCGATGGTGTATTTTGAAAGATCGTTTTTGTTTGTGAATTTGATTTGTACAGAACCCTATTTACTACTACTACTACTACTACTACTACTACTACTACTACTACTACTACTACTACTACTACTACTACTACTACTACTACTACTACTACTACTACTACTACTACACATTTGTTCGAAGAGGTGCAGAGGACATGGTCTAGTGAGTAGACATACCTACAAATTACGTAACAGTATGTGTGTGTGTTTTGCATGTGCAAATTGTATACACAATATATATTTATATTATCCTATAACGTTGATTTACAACTTCAACTCAACGTATTGTAACTAGAATAACTAGTTCTTGCTTCTATGTTGCTTTGCGGGGTGTAATGGACGCCCTTCCTCATCCCTCTCAGATGACCAGGAGCTACACATTTACCAATAATAGGCATATCGAGAAACATAGGACGACATCCAGATGAAACTAACGTAGTGCGTGCTCATGCGTGCTCTATATTATGATTCCGAAATCGAAGAGGAGGACGCCAAAATGATGTTTCTTGCTTGTGAAATGCTCATGTTTGGGGGTCCATCAGTTCTCCTTCGTCAAAAGCCAAGAACACCATGTCATGAGGTTGCAGGTCTCAGAGGCTTTCAGTCTCCGAAGTCGAGGTCCACCGAGCCCCAGGTCACCCGGAAGCCCCACGCCGCATCTTTCGAGGAGACAGAAGACTCAGAAGACCAAGCTGAAACTGGGGGCTGCTGCTTGGGTGGCTTTGCTTGCGACTCCAACTGCTGCCTAGCAGTGTGTCGTTGTGAAGCAAGGTGCGGAACAGGGCAGGTGTCGAGTACTCTCCGTGTTTGAGGCATGTTGGGAGACTGCCGCTTTTGTAAGAATGGTACTGATACTGGTGCTTCTACTGCTAAGGCTGCTGCTGCATGCTGCTGCTACTGTACCCAGCATGGATGAAACGCGTACTAAAAGTTACGTACCTCTTATGTTCGACCGAATTCGTCCTAAACTTGCGTAAGCTATGGTGACCCCCCTCCGTTTTGCCCTGAGAGATCTTTTGTGTGACTGTATTGTTCTTTGAAACTGCCATGCATCATATATCTATAATATCTAAGAGGATTGATGATGCTTCAGTGAATCCATGTTGTTTCTGCTTTGCTGCATCCTGGAGGGTCCTTTGTTCGCCACGACCACACGAAGCAGGTGCTGTTGCCGATGCCGCTGCGACCTGCTGCTGCGAGTGGATGAGGCGAGTGACGAGAGGTCTTCAGCTGTCACTGTGGGTCAGCTGGTTTCGACGCCGAGTCGAGTTCGACCCTTCAAAGGTCGAAAGCCGAGTCGAAGCATACCATGGCTTTGTTCAGTGACCTCCACGGCACCAAGGCTTCGAAACCATCAGGTGGGTTTCTCATGGTTTCGGTCTCACATCCCCCACTCCAGGTCTGATTGCAGTATCGTGGGTCAACAAATGGGCAAACGCTGAGAAACACATGTATAAAATGAAAACACACACATCAAAACCACTGGCACCGTCCATGTGTGAGGGACCCCGATGTGATTCAACCCACAAATGACAGAGCTGTAGACTCACCAACACACATGTTCTTATGGGATTTTATGGAAATTTTGGTATATAACCAAAAGTATTGTTACAGATGTATGCAACAAGCATCCTGAGGAAACTTGTTTGTTGGTCGCCTGATTCTACAAAGATGGAATGGAAGTTATGTCAGGCATATACTTGACTCGCCATTGCTGTCCAGTCATTACACCTTGAAGACCATCTCAACCTATTTGTTGGGTCTTTAAGTGGTGCATGTGCTGCCCCTGGTGAAGACTTTGAATTGGGGGGACTGAGTTTTGGGAAGTTGTGCACTTTGCAGATGAAGACATTTGAGGCCCGTTCTGGAAGCAACCACAGTGGCGGTTGTGGTTGGATGATTTTGCCCACCCCGCCATCCCCTGGTTTTTCACCCATTGGCTGCTTGATGTGGTTTTCCATGTTTCACTGCTTTGTGGCGCCATGAATCCATTGGCGGTGTGCAGTTGTTCACATTCGATCTCATCCAATGGCTTGGCTATGGTTATACCAAGCTGCAAGGTGGGTGTCAGTCCAGAAGTGTGGTTTCCACAGGAACCTGACCCCGAAATGCCAAAAATCCGAGGATTGAGTGGGCGCCCCTGACCCCTTCGCTGGACGATTCGCTGGACCAGGTGCAGCCCCTCTTCTTGTGGTGCGCGTCGCACGGCGAGCTGGCGCCAGCCAAAGCCCTTGCGCAGACGGAGTCCCGGAGCCACCCAAAAATACACGGCGAAGGGTTTCTGGTAGACTTGTGGATCATCTAGTAGAAGACCTTGTGGGTTACTACCTAGTAGACACTCGCTGGATCATCTACTTTGTGGGTTGTTGCAGTGATCACTTATCGTTTGGCTCATTTGGTTTCAGCCCTAGTTTCTTTCTCCATGTTTCGGAGGTGGGCATATAGTTGGGTGGACAAGGGTTCCTGGAAGACTACTGCTCTCATGCTTCCACGGTGGTCACGCGGCGAACTCCAGAGTTGTTGGAGCGATGTAGTGGTCAACCAGTCATGGAGCGAGGCAGTCAGCCGGAGGTGTCGAAGGTCCCGGGAGAGGAGTCATTTTCGGGTTTGGAGCTGTTTTCACTCCAGAGAAAAGATCCAGCCAACACATCGACAACATGTTTTTGACGTGTAAACAACTGCCATTTGTAGATCAGATCAGATTTACCTTCAACCGGTTTTCTGTCCACTTTTCTGGATCCACCTTGCCAGACTCAGGAGCTTTGTGGCGCCATTGCCCAGAGCTTGGAGGCGGACTTGGCGGCCCTCCTACAGGTGAGCGGTTCCAGCCTGGCCCTCCGGCCTTGAGTCCAAGCAAGAGAGGTTCAGTGACCTGAACTAGGACCTTACTGGGGTACCTATGGTATATATAGTCTATAAGGTCCTTCAACCTCTGGAACCCTTCCAAAAAAAACACTCTGAGCCTGAGGAAGCTTGCGATTCGAGTGTTGGAAGGTACGTTTTGAAGTGCAACATCTTGGCCAAGAAAAACAGTAGGAATTAGCTACCTGGGAGGTGCACAAGGTGACCGAAGGTTATTCAAAACATCACCTGTCCCACATGATGCCCAGAAAATTGGTTTGTTGCCTCCGCCTGGTCAATTGAAATCCACATCTGATCATTAGTGACTGTCCATGTGATATTAGCAGTGATTGGGGAAGACAATTTGGAAACATGATTTTAACCGCAGACACTCATACAATAATATGTGTTTTAGATGCATAGTAGGTGTATATAATATATCAGTATATACATGTTTGTTTCATGTGTGCGAGGGAAGGAGAATACCGATTTGAAGCCATCTGGAGAATCACCATACCTTGCCACTTGGAGAATCGCCATACCTGGCTCAGTGCCGCAAGGCCTCCGGCGTTTCCCTGGGCCGGCGGCAGCGGCGGCGCGTGAACGAGCCAAAGGCGGCAGCAGCGGCTCCGACTCCTGCGACTGCGAAGGAGTCGGGAGGAAAGAGCCTGAAGACTTCCAGAGCCTGAAGGTTGGTTTTACAGGGTTTTGATTGATTGGTGTGGTCAACCCTCGATTTGATTGAGCGAAGACACTGTTGAACATGGCGTGCAGAGCTCACAGTTGACAAAAAGAAGAAATTGATAGTCAGCATCAACAGGAGACAGACCAGAAGAAAGTACGCGCTCAACTGGCCACATGTGTTTGGGAGTTGGCTAGAATTTGCAACTTCCTTCTTGCACCGGGCCAGCCATGGGAGGAGTTCTGCTGACAGGGAGCGAAGGTACATGGCACATCCAGGAGTTTCAATGTTACTAGGGGCTCCTGGCCGTACTACTAGGAACAAGCAGCTACTAGGGGCTCCTGGCATCGCTACTAGGAGCAAGGACACTACTAGGGGCTCCTGGCATCGCTACTAGGAGGAAGGACGCTACTAGGGGCTGCTGGCATCGCTACTAGGAGCAAGGACACTACCAGCGGTCATCACGGCTTTTCACATACGTGGCTGAAGGGGGCTGTTGGGTATTCACTGGGTATTCACTGAGAACTAAATGTCAACGTAGGATGAATCGACGGCCCCCCCTTCTTCAAGGCCAACAAGGTTTGAGATTGGAGGTATTGGAGGACCAGATCCCCCTAATAAAGGTGATGACCTGATGATGGATGATGGTTGCGAGGATTCTTTGTGTCATGAGGACTGTGTAAGGGCTAACCCTGTGGGAGCTTGAAAACCTGAAGATGTTGATAGAGTTTTAATAATAGGGAAAATGAACAATTTTGCGAGAGAGGTTTTAGGGATTGTGGAACAATGGACGCTGACCAGAAGATATTGGATGCTGACCAAGAAGAAAGTTAATAAGAATAGTAATAATAATAATAACAATTATTATAGTAACCCATTTCGTATTTTTCTGGGGCAACTGGGCTTGATTAATAGGAGGAGGTCACTTAATCCTAGGTTGACCTTGAGCCCGTCAGGAGGCCTTCCGAGCGCCTTTACCGCCCTTGGAGCTTTGGCCAGACGTGGAGCTGCATTGGATAGAGTGCTTGTCAGGTGTCTCTGAGGAGACTCAGCAGAGAAGTCGTCAAGCCTTAAGGATGTTTCGTCACCAATACCAAACAAAGATCCTGGACCGATCTGTGAGGTTGCCCCATATTGACACAAAAAAAATACAATACTGTATATTATACATATTGCACATATTGTATACCATGGATTCTTGTAGTGAACCCGCATGCATAGGCAAAGGGAACAACCTTGTCGTGCGCCAGAATGCAGGCATGATCGCGCATGCCCCTGTTGCTGTACATCATACATACACATAGCCAATACCCGAAGAAGGCCCTGGGCCTCCGAAATGCCTGGGGATTTGATTGGAAACCGGCTGCTGCAGGGTTTGCATTGTTCATCGTTTTCAGATTTCAGCACGTGCATACTCATTTCTTGCTTGGGTATCGAGAAGAGCGGGTATCGATTATGCGTTTCTTGGCATAAGTCATTCAACATTTGACCTCCAAGCCCGTTTGAGGCACGTGTAAATCACGGTTTAGGGTTTAGGGTGAATCACACACCCAAACATTCCCCATAAATCTAATAGAGTCTAGAGTGTCAACAAAACAGAAATGGAACAAAACATTTCAATCGGATAGCCACCCGGTTCGTGCAGCATGTAAAGAAGTACGATATCGGCTTTACCTCACCAGGCAGAGTGGGAGAATACCCCGGGTTTTCCTGTGAAACCCGATATTGTTTCAATTTTACTAGATCAGCGGGCTATGTCCGCTTACCCGAAGACCAGTTAGGGTTCTTTTCGCTCTAAGCAGCTGCTATTGGAGCATCCTTCCAGGAGCGTCCTCACATGACCAACAAAAAGGGGTATACAAAAAGAAAATTGTCTTCCTATCAGAAAACATGATTCCTATCGCAGTGGCAGGGGCAGCTCTCTGTGAAGGGTTAATTGTTTTGATACCAATTAATTGTTCTTTTCGATAAGATATGGAACATGTTCTTTTTGATATATAGTTGTTTTCTTTTTGATAGCCCGGCCACAAAAAGGTGGGGTGGCAGGTTTGCCCTGGACCATGGCTGGCTCTGTTGGTCGACTCGGGAGGCTTCGGTTCCGCCCATGGGTTGGCGAAAGGAGATCCTGGCACGGACCCAGCTCGAGGGAGGTGTGATTGCGCTGGATGCGGAATGGAAGCCCTTTCAGTCTGGACTGCGCGAGCGACTCGTGGACGACAAGTTGGATGTAAAAGCATCGCGGAGGTGGTCAGACATTGAATGTAACTTACTGGACAATAACTATTGGCAGGACCGGACCACCTAGGAAGAACATGGAAGAACTTTGTTTGGGAAATGTCGCTTTTCCTGTGTAGGCCCGCAAGAGAAGTCGAGGATTGGCACAACCCACCTGCCGCATGCAGAGCTTCTTGCGCAGGAGAAGCACCAACGCCGATGGAGCTGCTTCAACTCGCAGTGATACTTGGCGAGATCAGAAAGAACTCGAATCCTCCAAACCTCACAGATCCTCCAAACCTCACGCGTAGCGAAGTTGCACAGGCCCAGCAGATGTTGGCTTCTGGACCTGCGAGCTGTGCAGTGGTCAGCCCTGCAAGCCCTTTTGCGCCAGCTTTGCAGCTTGGATGCACCCCCTGTGACCCCTTAAACCATTGGAACAAAAGGGCGAGTCGGATGAGAAAGGCAAATCATGCAAGCAACCCAGCAATGCAATGTTTTACCTCGGCGGGCTTTGCTCGACTTTCGTCTTAGCTGCATGATTCTTGATAGGCTCTGAAGACATCTGAAGACAATGCGTGTAGTCGACAACAGCTCCTTGTTCAGCGCCACTCCGCACAGTCATTGCAACTGTACATGAATCAATATATAGAATCTGCATGAATCTGCTCATTCTACTACTACTACTACTACTACTTCTACTACTACTACTACTACGACAACGACTACCTACGACGACTACTACTTCTACTACTACTACCTCCTACTACTACTCTCTCCTACTACTACTACTACTACTATCTCCTACGATTACTGTACTACTTTCTAGTGCTACTACTTTTGCGACGACGACCACGACTACGAGAACAAAGCCTTGGCTCTATTCATTCCCAGTTGGTTGCTACAGGGAGGCTGTTTATCATTCAAGGCTCAACAACATTAATATTTGGATAAACCTATTCATATGGGGGATTGTTCACTAAAATGCAATACTGTCACATTTTCTTAGTTGCGTTTTGCATCGGTTTCCGGAAAAAAAAAATATATATATATATATACTTTGTTTTTTCTGACATGATTTGGCT